AAAAAATTAACTAAAAAGCGAACTTTGAAGGGAAGGTTCTTCTCTCGAAAGCCACACAAAACCAAACGTTAGGTCAGTGATGTTCAGTTCATGATTGACAGCTGTTTCCTCGTTAGCCAATCAAATTATTTGAACAATTTTGACAAGGATTGTGATTGGCCTATTTTAGCACACGTTATCAGAGATCAGAGGCACGCTTACGCAACTTTTACTCGTTTGAAAAATATTGTCAGAAACACTCGACTTCGTCTCGTGTTTCCCCCTACACTTCTTTCGTGCTCTACCGCTTCTTGCGTGCTTTATCTGAACAGAACAGAACACAATCGAGACTTCTTTATTTGTTAATTAAAAAACGGTCATTTGGACAGAGGATGTAGTTGAACACTTTGTATTGAAAAGAACGTACATAAGGTTTGCTTGCAACCCTCACAAGTAAGAGGTAGGTTCTGAAAGTTGGTCTTTTCTTAAATCAAATTCTCCACCAAGCTTATCCCATGAACAGTGCCATGTTTTTTTGTTGCTTAAAAGATAATTAAGATAATGCTACCAAAAACATGACACTCTTCGGTCCATTATTCGACTTCATCAACTTAATCTGAATGCCTTCACAATGATGACTTTTCCTGATAATGAAACAGAATACTCAGCGAAAGTTATTCTATCATCGTAAAGAACATGTTATTCATATTTTAATTTTATCAGATGAAAGTAGCAGTTTTTATATTTGTAATTTTTGAAGTCGATGACAAACTTGAAGTTAGGTAGATTAACACGTAATTTCGATGGGACAGGCTGTCTTAGTCTGGTCCAAAACACGACGTTTGAATTTTTAAACCTTGCTCTTTCATGGGTCTAAATGAGTGAATATTTGTCATGTCATAAGGCAGGTCCTTTGTGAAATTTACACCATTATCAAAGTAATGTCTACAACAAAAACTGTTCTGCCCTTGATCAGAAGACTTTCTTTATTATTCCATAAGATGTGTTTGTAACCGCTGTCGGGGTCAGCAATTTCTCTTAATTCAACCCACCAAGATAAGAGCTCATGGTGAAAGGTTGACAAGATATTTGTTTAGCATACGTTAAAATTGCAACCCAGGAAGAAAAGCCCTCCTTTGTTGCTTAAAAGTTAATTAAGATAATGCTTCCAAAAACCATGACACTCTACATCCACTCTTCGTTTCAACCAACTTGATCTTAATGCCTACAACAATGACTTTTCCTAATAAAGAAACAAAACACTAAGCGAAAGTTGCTCTATCGTAAAGAACACGAGCGCGCGAAACAATCAAATAATCCTCGAAATAATCTTCCATTAACATGTTTGTGTTATTACGGGTTGCTTAGTAACTATTTTGACTCACACTGGGGGGCGGAACGTGGCTTATTATTATACCTTGTGAACACCGTTTACAAGTCCCTACGGGAGAGTTGAGTGCAGAAAAATATCCGCAATTATTACATATTATCCTATTAAGGTTACCTGCAGTGTCGTTCAAACTGAAAGCGAGTCGAGCAAACTCCACTACCATCTATGCAAGAAGACAGGTACTAAGTTCAAGCCGAGCGCAGGGTAAAATTTTCTGAGGTATTTCAACGCTCTTTCTGATGAATTTGGTCGCAGCAGTGCTATTATGGGTCAAAATACTTTCTTTGTTTGAAGGTAAGTGCTTTGAACCATGGACACTTACTCCCTGTATAGTAATAGAGACGTTTAAGGTTTTGAAACATGGGCTTGGTTATTTGGCCTTAACATGAATACATAGAACTACATTTAGCCGACAGGTTTCAATTTGCGTTTATCGAGGGGCTCCAAGCTTGTTCGTATGATCAAGAGCCACTTCATTTTTGAGATTATCAATTCAGTTGCAAATTTGAAATGAGTAAAGTTGTTATGATTGACAAAAAAATTTAAGTGTAATGCCGAGAAAATATTTTGTATTTTCAGGCCTATGTCTACCTATCTCTCACTCAGTTTGTAACCGTCTTCTTATTGACATTAAGATTGATCTTGCAGGACCGTTACTCCCGTCATGTAAATATTTATTTGAAGATTTCACTGGAAAGATGTTAAATTCTGACCACCATGCGAGAAAGTTTCGTAAGATCTTTTTGGTATGTTTGCTTAAAAGGATGACTCAAAAAGTCTGTTTTCATGTTATTTCAAACTTCTAAGTTCGTTTTCTCAGTTTTGTGCTCTTGCTCTCGCGTATTGTAAGAATTAGATTCACCGCATGCTTTCCACGGTCGATGTTATTGTGTTAAAATATTGACCAGGATAGCTTCTGAAAGTATGGCAACTTGTCGAACGTTTTGTTTTTACCTCAATCGGTCGAACGAAATTGATTCTGCAGCGCAGTTTCACCATTTCGAGTGTCAAGACGTACTTCAATTGTAACTTGAAACTTGATTACAACGCTCTAAGCTCGTATTCGTCCTTTGAACTATTTTTACTGCGCTCGGTCAGTTAAGAAATACTCGACGCGTGCTTCTGAGCTACCAGTGAAACTCCATGCAGACTGTCATTACACCTTGATAAAAACTGATTTGATGACTGACTGAATGTTCGACAACTAATTTATAGCTTGGGTAAAGCATTCTGCCTGAGTGTCTCTATGCAAACCAGATTGCCTTCTGGGTCTTCCTCTCTTGGTCTCCCTCTCTTAACATGGTTAACCGGCCTCTTTCGTGTTTTGTTAGGTTCTTCAGGTTCAACAAACACTTCATGGGAACACCATATTCGAGCAGACCTCCTTGATAATTATGACAGGAAGGTCCGACCAGTATTTACAAGCAAGAGGGTTGTGGAAGTGTCGTTCGCGATGAGAGTCAGTAGGCTTGTCAAAGTGGTACGACCATCTACTTTATATGCTTTCCCTTCATTTTTATCCTTTAAAGTGGTCTGTACCATTTTTGTTCTTTCAGTAACCAATTTTATCATTTCATCTTTTGAGAAGAATTATATATGAAAAATAAAAGAGTTCATCTTGCATCAACTAATTCTACTGATGTTTTAGATCGTCCTCTAAATTCAAAGCCAAAAGAGAACCAGCGAGTGGGATTATTATTATCATTATCATTATCATTATCGTTATCGTTATCGTTATCGTTATCGTTATTATTATTATTATTATGCAATCGATGTTTTAACTTTGAAATGTCGCTGAAGTTTTACATAATGTATTTTGTTTGCTTTCGTTTTTAATAGGATAATCAAGAACAAGTGCTAGTTCTGGACACTTGGGTTATACAGGTCGAGACACAGCCGTTTTCTTACTACTATTTGTTTTTGTTTTTAGTGCTATTCCAATATCGTATTTAACAATTATTCCCCACAGCGCCGGGAGGTGGCTGCTGACGGATATTGACTCAAAAAAATAAAACCGTACTTGTGTATACTGTTAAACTGAATTTTGTAGTTTTCGTTGTGTTAGAAGAGACAGCTCCTTTATAGACTACCAGAGTTTCTTTGGAATTTCGCTGTTTTTGCTTTAAGTAAGGTAAAAGGCAAAGTCTGCATACGAGCCAAGTAGCCCACCAGGCCGGAGCTTAACCCGGTTTCCGTAGCATGAAGCGACTAGGAGAATTTCTACTCCTCCCCCCTGGATGGGATGCTAATCCACCACAGGGTCACCCCCAGCATTAACTTTGCCGGTACTCATTTATACACCTGGGTGGAGAGAGGCTCTGTGAGAGCAAAGTGTCTTGCCCAAGAACACAACACAATGTCCCCGACCCTGACCGCTTGATCCGGAGTCGAGCGTACTAACCGTGAGGCCACCACGCCTCCACTTTTACTTTAAGTGCCAAGAAATAATTTTGCATTCGATTTTCACGAGCTCAGAGTGGCAAACACAATATCTTCCAATTATAAGACCCGCCCGTAATATAAGCTCCCCCCCTCTAGTTTAAAATAGATGTATTCAATTTATTGTAATGCTCTAAGGCCTACTTAAAAACCAATATATGAAAACCGTATTTCTATTAAAACTGCTGTAGCTCATTGTGAAACGGTTTTTTGATTCCGGTTGTAAGCATCCCCAGCCCCCCCCCCCTCCCCCCGCCGGACATAAGCCCCTTTGTAAGTCCATCTAAAACCCCTTACGAGGTTGTATAAGCAGCAGTCTACGATATACTAATAGGCCCTTTGCACGACCCGGTCGCATTGTACAAAATCACACATGCAAGTTGCACAGTGGGACTTTCAAAAGTAGTACGAGTTGCTATGTTTTGGAAGTCCAACTGTGCAACTTGCGTCCCAACATGTGTAATTTTGTACCATGTGACCGGATCGTGCAAAGGGCCTATTATTCTCAGACTTTAGAGCATTTCACACTCCGGTGGCTAGCTGCCATCCAGATTTATTTGAACAAAAGAAATTGTATGATAGTTTAAGTCCCGCAGGATTGGTTTAAGACACCAATCTGGCCGTGATTTCATTCATTTGTTGTTACTTAGTGTTTTCGGCTGTAATTTCTCATCAAATGTTTTGGTACTTTCGTTGTACTTGCAGGGATGGACGAACGAATATCTGACGTGGAACCCTAGTGAATATGGTGACGTACAACAAATCCATTTCGCTCCTGATGAAATTTGGGTCCCGGATATTGCTTTGTTTAACAAGTGAGAATACCAGAATATGTCTGTCTGATAATATACTGAGAATATGTCTGTCTGTCTGAAACGGTTAATTATGCGCTCAGTAATTTATGCGATCCTGGACTGGGTCCATTTGGCACCAGTCTCATCTGAACAGGGGAAGAGTTTAGAGCAGGACTCTAAGCTGTTCTAGATGTTCTCAAGGGCCGGGTTGAGTTTGTCTGCTTATTACAAGTATAAACATCGAATGGGATCAGTCTGGATAAGCAGTACAGATTACAAGTGAATAGAAGACCAGCTGTTCGGTCCAGTTTTGTTTAATCGAATTATTTGGAACTGGTCGCATATGAACTTACCCCAAACCTCCCGGTTAGCTACTTGATGATTAATTAGTGAATGCTATTTACCTCAGTATTGCATAACATTTTGGTTTTTGTCTTCTTGTTGTTGTTGTTGTTGTTGTTGTTGTTTTTGTTGTTGCTGTTGCTTCTTCGCTTGTCCATCTTAAGTGAATGGACCTGCTGAAAAATGATGTAATACAGTGCTTGACCACATTTCCAAACACAGAGAAGAGAGTTGAAAATACGACTCGCAGTGGAGTATTTTTTACGAACTTCGAAATATATCTTCTCACTCAAAACTAAAACTAAGGAGAAAACAGAGAAATAAAATCTTAAAATCTTTGCTAATTAAGATGAGATATCCAAACACCGTCACAGTCACGATTTCCTTTGATTAAACGTGATAAACAATTGAAGAGTTTGAGAAATCTATCTTATAAAAACCATCAGATCAGTTGCATATATCTGTAATCTTCGCCTAAACATCAGCTAGACCGGGAAATAGCGAAAAATTGAATTTCTAGTTACTCGCCCAGAATGATGCCCTACGCGCACTTTTCACAAGAAAGGAAGAACAACTACGACTAACAATTAGTTTGCAATGACAGTCGTTACTTTCGACTTTACGAGCCTCTCAGTATGACGCTCCTTTTCGATCGATTTTGGCCTATTTAGGGCATCGAGGAGAAACTATTGCGTTAAAAAACCAACAGTTATAATCGAACTAAACCAATGTTTGTGGAACTAGTGCCCCTAGGGCTTCATTCTGTGAGTCTTTGAAGAAATTCAATTTTCTTTTTTGCTATTTATCGGTCTACTTGATATTTCGGTGGAGCTGCTCTTTCACTTTTTTCTAACCCCTGTTTGACTGAACAGCCTTTCTATATACTTTTATCGTTTATTTCTAGTGGTGACGACTCGATCAATTTAGCGGGAGGGATAAGCAAGTTTGTGACGGACATCTCAGTCAGCTTTAATGGGAACTGTGTTTGGAGCGGACCGGCAACGTTTAAAACCACCTGTGAAATGCAAGTCGACGAGTGGCCGTTTGACGAACAAAAATGTGAACTATCGTTTGGCTCCTACACGTATGGAGAGAAACTAATGAGAATCAGGCTGTTCAAGGACAAAAGTGATTTTGCGAGTAAGGAATCGTCCCTTATATTATTATGAAGCCATCTGACCCTGTAAGGTCCAAATAAAGCCCAACATATGAGACTCTATGACACTATAATATCCTGTTGACTGACCAGAACAGAGTAAGGAAACAAGCAACGTGTACGAAGAGAACGAGAGTTACACCTGAACAAAAACGCATGACCGTAGTTCGAGCATATGACATTTCGTGTAATAAGCGTTCCCACATTCCACTTCAGTGGGTACGATCAATAGCACCAGGGCGAGGTTGAGATGGACATTTTCATACATTTTCTGTATTTTTGTCCACCCTGACCTCGACTCGGCGTCATTGCTTGTTTAAATGCTGGAGAGTCTATTGTTTATGCTTCTCGCGTACGTAAATTTAAAACCCGTTCTAGACCTCGTTATTTCAAATCGATTTTGAAATTACTCGCGCTATTAATTGCTCTCTGAATTGCATTCCACTCAGTCTAATTACTATTACATATATACATTGCCAAGGTTGAGCCATGTCTACTAAAAAAAAAACATAAACTGAAACCATAATTTTGGCATATTTTAGTCACTCTCGCGGCCATTTATTTGACAAAACAAAGCCAAATCACATGAAATTTAGAAAGCTCGATTTAATTTCCGTCTGGGAGGGCAAACCCCCCTCATGAAAATACGCCTAATTTATCCACTAAGGGACAAACGGTGGAAAATTTTTTTTTCCATAGAGTTATTTCCAGAGTTGAGGGAAAAGAGCCCCGTTATCTGGTCTGTCCTAGCTTCTGCATGCCTAAAATAAGACAATATCTATAAACCGTATAATAGCTATATGTGAGGATTAAATATCCTTATCCGAACAGTTGACTGAAACCTTTAAAAATGTCGCTTGTGGCTTACCACGGGTTTCACAAGATATCTCAAAATGCAACGATCTTTTTAATTTGGCTTTCATAAATTATAGTTTAACAATGTAACGTTAACATGGCTCTCAATTCCTTCGCAAAAATTTTGTTTAACGTCCTGATCTCAATATTACAGTAGAAAAACTGTCTTTGAGCTTTTTAGGAGGTTATAAGCACAAAAGAAAGAAAAATAAGGGTGTTTTAAAAGGTTAGGCTGTTGTTACGGTAACCTGTTATGTAGGAAAGATGACTGCAACTAGTTCTTGTTTGCCAGGGAATGAGCATTCGTTTGATACCATCTACTTGCTAAAGGCCTGCTCTACAGTTGGTCGATTATGATTAATTTTCCTTTGAGCACAAAAGTTAGACCATTTCTGGATATAAACTTGATATTGTTTTTGGGTACCAGGTCTCCAGGAGGCCATAAGGAGGTTACAAGCTGATTCTGAAATTCCTCTTGTTTTATAGGATCTCCTGATATGTAGCAGGCCATCTTTTTTGTTGTGGAAGAGCAACTGGATGTCTTATCAGCAATCTCAACATCTGGGGCCACCAAACTTGTGTTGGCCATATGGGTGCAATCAGAATCCCTTCCGCTTTGTCCATTTCTACTTTCCTTAAACATCTAGAAATAACAGAGAAAGGTGGAAANAAGATGACTGCAACTAGTTCTTGTTTGCCAGGGAATGAGCATTCGTTTGATGCCATCTACTTGCTAAAGGGTGATATTGCTGCATCAAACTATGAGTGCTGGAAATTGCTGGAAACGGTTGTTAGCTACTTTCAATGATAATTCCTTGGGTTATCCCGTTGGGCAATAATGGGGGAGAAAAGATACCTATTGCAGAAACTAATCAGCTATGCGTATTTACCTTCTTAGCTCGTTATGTTGAAAGCGGAGACTGGGACATAGTAGACATCAGATCCAAAATATCGGAAACTGACCATGGCGACTGCTGCCCGTTTAACTTCAGCGAAGTGGTATACACTCTGGAAATGAAACGCAAGTCACTGTACTATATGTTCTATCTCGTCATCCCCTCCGTTACACTGACAGTAGTTGCTCTCAGTAGTTTCCTCATCCACGTTGAAAGCGGGGAACGCATTGGCTTTGTCACAACTATTCTGCTCGCCATGACAGTGTTTCTTCTTGTCATCCCGTCCTTTCTTCCAGTGACGTCAGACAGCGTACCAATCCTTGGCGTAAACCTACAAGTTACTATGATCATTATAGCCTTGGTTCTCTTCGCCAATATTTTCGTCGTGAGGGTTTACTTCAAAGACGGAACTCCCCCAGACTGGATTGAAAAGCTCTGCGGCTTTTGCAGCATAAAGAAACGTAAAGAAGCCAAACGGATTCATGCATCGCAGCCTGATGGCGCTCACGGCATGGCAAAATGTTCCACTACACTGACCAGCATCGAGATGACCGAGTGCAATGAAGGAAGTCCAGCTTTCCTTGAAAGAAAAGAAGAAGTTGAATTCACGTGGCGGAGGGTGGCCAGAAAAATGGATCAAGTGTTTTTTGTAATCTTTATTATTGCCTCGTCTATTGCGTATGCTTTCACGTTCAAAACATGATTAGTTGTTTATTTGACTGATGTTTTACAAATAGCCACTCATTGTACATAAAATTCATTTGTTCTTAAATTGTTATAATTTTAGGTTTTGATATCACAAGTGAATGTGTGTTTTTGTTTTCCACAAACACTACAACACCAAACATGTCATGACCCACACCTTTGCTGGTATATTTGTATGACATTAGTACAACTTGGGTATACAAAATATTACTAATGTATACCATAAAATTCCGATTTTAAGCCCCTTACCCTTCACACCTGTTGTAGGGTCATCTATAGGTAACATTAAAAAACTTTTCCAGTTACAATGACATAAGCCCCGCTGGAAATACCCCTTCTTGACTTTTTGTACTTCACCGGACAGCGAGGAAGGGCTGATGCTCCCTGTACTTGTTTCATTACCTGCTCTATGTGCTTCTTGTTTCGAAGAACATGAAGAATCTTTTTCAACTGCTGTATTTTGGTTTCAACGGCGTATTTTGAGCCTTTTTTATACCGTTTTTAACCCGCCGCCCTCACCTCTCCGTTTGTAAGCCCACCGAATACCCCTTTTAAAGTTATATAAGCCCAGCGCTTATAACCGGAATTTTACAACATGTAAGAAAGAAAGAGTTACGTTATATTAATCTGGATTGATAATAAATGATTGCGTGAAAAAAAAAATCATAATGTAATGTACCTTATCACTTGGATTTCAAAAATAAAAAAGAGAGTCCCTAATTCTTTGAGAACTTTTACTCGATATTCGTTCGGTGATACTCCATTACCCTGAAAAGCCCGTGTCTGGAAGAATTCTATATTCCCTCTAACCGAAAAATAAATGGATTTCATTTTCTCAGATTGATGGTCTTTTTCTTCCCTTTTTCGGAGTTTGTTTAATTCAAAACTATGAGCAATAACCTTGAAAGCGGGAGAGGGGGAGGAATCACAAAGCAAGTTGTGGGCTTCTTTGTGTGTTTGCTGTTGTCATTTGTCAGTTTTTTGTGAGGAAAATTCAATTTATGGGAGTTTCTCAACTGTTTTGTGATTGGTTGTAAGTGTTCGCTTTCGGGAGGTTGTTCCAAACATGCGATCAGAATCAAAGATTTTTAAACTTAAAAAAGCCACTATCGTGGCCATTATATTGAAGAGTCAACTCATAAGGTAAATTCACATCGTAGAAACCCTTAAAACCCAATGCTCCATCTTTATGAAAATATATCTATGCTTTAACTTTAACAAAAATTACACTAAATAAACTGGGGCTAGGATTTATTTGGCCCCCTACGCAGACGCTCTTTGAGATCGTGACGAGTTCAAAGATAGTCTGTAGTGAAGGCTAGGATTTATTTGGTCACGTATGTTTAAGGTCTCTGTCACAAATTTAACAAACGTCAGGAAGATTTTTTTCAAATCCTGCCTTGTGTTTTGTAAAATCGTTGAAAACCATCTGAACTTAGCTGCAGTTTGCTCCCCTTTGAGAAATTTACTTGATGTCTTCGTCTTGGTGTTTCAGGAGCACTGTGCTGTATGAGCAAAATGGCATCGTAAGTTAAGTCATAAGTTTAGTACTGTTCTCGTCGAAAAGGGGAGAAAAACCTCCCAAATAGTACCTCTTCAAGTAAAATTTGAAGGTTTTCTAAATTACACCTCTCTGTGCTTGAGACCCTTAAAGAATTAAGCGACTTATGTGTTTTAGTTATCACAAGATTCTCTTGTGTTAAAGGAGCTACGTCACGGGTTGCCCATCTTGAAAAGTTAAGCCTAAATTTTTCCAAGTTCGTCGAATGTAATCCATATCATTCTTCTCCATCCTTAACCACCCTTGTTCCCTTATAGTTTATTATTATCTCTTTGGCGCTTTTCTATCTTCGGGCAATTTTTTAAGTGGCCAAAATAACTCAAAATACCACGACCGAGATCCTTGAAGGAGCCAAAGCTTACAATTTAAGCAGACCATACGATATGATCTCTAAGTCTTCTTACAATATGTTACGGACAGCGTCATGATCAAAATACAGTGACTTCTTCTAATAAGTGCGAGTCAGTTAGTGCCCAGCGAACATATCAAAAACACAAACAAGATACATTTATTTCCTTGCAGGCGTTCTTTGAATTTATGAAATGGAACTATAGGTAGTTCTTCGGTTATTTTATAATGAAACATCTTGTAGAGAAAAAACTGCCAGCGATAAAATCAACTGAAGTGAATAAATTTTGACATTGCAAGTAAATAATTGTCAAATCTTCATTTGCTTTGATAAATAATGTAGACTATTGTAAATTGTCGAGGCTGACTAGCGTCCTCGACTTGTTTCGAGAAGTGGTGTAAAGTTGGTTAGATTGTGCCAGATCTCGTGATGTGTTGGCCCTTGCTTTGTCTTTCCAAAAGCATTTTGCGTTTAGCAGTAGCGTTCGCATTGTTTTTTTACATTTTTATACCTTTTCCGCATGTTATCGCACAGAACTTGTAGGGTACATGTATAACGTCTCCAATTTCTAGTTGTTGGAATATGCCAATAATTTTACGCCAGTTCTTGTTCAGTTTTACATCGAAGGCTTAAAGTAATCGACTTCCCGCGAAGATGAACCGTACACGGACCTTACAGTATCGCGATGAAAGTGTTTCCTGAGAGCCACGAGTTGAAACGTGTCTGTAAATTGTCTCCAACAAGTTCAATGCCATTTTGTAGCTTCCCACTCTCCAATTTCCTTTCAAAATGGGGCTGGGTATGTGTCAATGAAGTGTGGTCGATACCAACTTCAAAGCATCGATGAGTTAAGCCATTTTTTGGTCATTTGCGAGGCACGGTCGCTCGATAACGATCGACTGGAAAATTTTTGTTACAAGCAAGCAAAATTGAGATGAATTCTTCGAATCCCATACAAGGTAACACTCGTGGGCAAATTTATAGTTTGCTGGTGTTCAATGGCACTAAGCATTTCTTAGCTACGCAGCTACGCAAGAACTCCGTACGTGCAAGCACCTGCAGACAATGGGCGAAGGTATGATTCCCAGAAAGGTGATTAAACATAAAACTCTCAGTTGGAATACCTGTCCTATCATCTTTGGAATATAGCGAAAAGGAATGAGTTGCGAGAATGCAGTCCTCGCCAAAATCCCAAATTTTTCAGTCCGTTCTAATCCCATTAACATTGGTGGTTTATATCTGTTCAGGTTCTGCATGATGCTCAGGACCAGCATCCCAATATATCACTTTCTTATTTTTTATTCTAGATCTTCAAACCTTTGTTATGAAGTTACGTTTGGACAATGGATCACCTAGAAAAATTAACCCCTTGAGTTCAATCCGGAACAGTTAGATGGTGGAAGGTTCATTAACTAGAGAGGGACTACCAAATCATCTATAGGACTAACAGACATTTTGTTCAAAGGAGACATTACAAAGAAGACATTGTAATGCGTATGTAGTAAAAAGTTTCTTTTAAGAAAGTCCTCGTCATTCTTGAATTACTGTTTCAAAAACGTATCGATGAAAAACCCGAGTCATTTACAACAGATAGACAAATCAAACGTTTTTACCCACGCTGCTCTTATTGCGTTGATGTACCCCAAAATAACAAAGAAAAACATGACGCATCCTTTTAATAGAAGTGCCGGCTTTATACGACCGAAATAACTGTCTAGCTTGAAAACACGACCGTAAAGCGCTATTAAAACAAAGCGGACTTTAGTTTTCACACCAGACAAAGCGCCTGCCGACCTCGTGTGATATTGACAAGATATATTATTTCCTTTATTTCGTAAAAAAATAAATTCGTTATTTTAATATAGAGCCCAGAACCCTCGAAAATGAGATCTATCTCTATTGAACGGATTTCCTTCCTTTTCCAAAACTTTCGCCCACGACATCTGAACAAATGGCATGTAGATATACAGATCTGAATAATTTTGTAACCACTATAGGGATCACAATCAATACATTGTGTTTCAAAAATTTGCTCGTGTGTTCCATTTTTTTTTTTTTTTATCTCGTTTTGTTTTTGTTCTTTCTTTCTTTTCTTTTCTGTTCAAATTTGGTTCCAACTCTGACTCAAGCCAAGATTGATATCTTTAGAGCCACCCACCTTTAGGAAGCAAATTCAACTCTCAGTTAATTAGTTCTAGCATGCCAAAACAGAGGCATTTAATGTTTACTACCAAATAACGGCAACTATTATCAAATATGGAAACTACGCAATCATTAATGTTTTAAATGGTGTTTGAACCTCACAGAACCGAACTCGACTGGATCAACTGGAAATCAATGGACACTATCGACAAGTCAACTCCAAGAACTTAATAAAAATTTACAACCATAACTCCTTTTTTGAGCTGAAGAAAGATATAAAGAAGCGCCCCAACAAAATTTAATTATAAACACTTCGTATGAACATAGCAGTTTCGTATATTTTAAAAACAATTGTTCAAATACTTATTAATTTAAGCTAACATTCCGTTTCGGCGACTTTTAGGAATTAAATATGAAACTCATCAATAGAAAAAGACACTAGATATACGATGTCTACTGGAAGTAACTTGGAAGAAACAACTTCTTGTTTACAGTAAAAAAAAAAAATCGTTATTCAACTCGAACGGTATATAACGGGTGCCATTCCGTAGAACTGCCTGGGTAACAGTTGGTGGGTTAGAACTAAGCATTAACCAATCATGAAATACCTGGTGCTGGTTTTATGTTTTACCCTGAGTTTTGGCTTCATTGAGCTTTCACATCTAAATGAAGAACAACCGTCTTATGTTCTGCTCTTCAAGTCTGGCACTAAGAGGGATTCTCAAGCCCAGTTGAAGGTAAATGAAACTGCTTAATATATCTTGTTAATCAAACCGACTATTTTTCACGAAAGCTCTGAAACATACTTAGCCTAAAAGAACCCCAGCTCCATTTTGTAGAATGCACGGTACTCAAGAAAACGCAGAAAGACGTAGCGGATAGTGGGGACAATTAGCGCTACTGATCATAGGAATAGTCACAATCTAGTGTAAAGCCTTAGAGCCGATGGCTCATAGCTGCCAGAACACAACACCGTGTCCCCGGCTAGGGCTCGAACCCGGACCGCTCGCTCCGGAATCAAATCACAAAATTATTTATACTCTCATGTAGAAAGGCTGATGAAGACTAAAATGAAAACTTAGAAAGATACACAAGATAATAAATACTGATGAAACGGTAATAGTGCTTAAATGCGTTGACCGTGTTCCAAGAAAGAGCTGAGTTATAGTCTTCTCACTTTATTCCTTTAAATAACCTTATTTCTTTGCAACTTGGCTTCTAAAATGAAAATCTTTATATGCGTTGAATTTCAGAAGAAAAATGTCGGTCCTCCTTACATTCCGCCGATCGAATTTGGAAGAAAAAGAGAAACTAGACATTATCTTAAGGTATGTTATGTTTACTAACCGAGCGCAAGGGCCGTACTGGGGAGTATTGGCCCTCGGTCGGTCGACCGACGGCCAATATTTCCCAATACGGCTCGAGCTAGCTCGCGCCATGCTTGTTTGTTTTCTGTTAAAACATACTTCCGGACACTTGAATTCAAAGGGCTCTCGCCGTAACGTGATTTGATGACGCGAGTAACTTAGAAAGAACGAGCTACCACGAGTTTGAAAACAAATTTATTCAACGTAAACAGGGCCGTAGGCTAGTTTTGATATGGGTAGATTCTTGCTATCTTTAAACGGACCAAATAGCTCTTACTAGTTGTATTAATCATTATCTTAGTAGCCTCAAGTCGACTAGAAACTTTTTCCTGTTTCCCTCCCTCTAGTGAGGCGCAAGAGTTTTATCGTTTCACCTTCGTTCCCATCGGCTTACAACGCTGGTGTTTGTCTAAGCCAGCAATAAAGCAACTTTGTTGTTCCCAAACTCTCTTGTCATCGGTGTTTGAAAAAGCAT